GCGTGGGGGCATTGCACCCCAGGGGGCCCCTGGGGTGCAATGTCTTGGGTGTGTCTTGGGTGCGACGGGAGGAGCGGGGCGGGCCCCACGGCGGCCCGGCGGACGCGTCGGGCGCGCCGCCAGGCAGGGCCAGGGATGAAAAGGGCGGCGCTGGCCGGCGCCCACCGACGGGGCCGCGGGCCCGCGCGCGCGGGCCCGCACCAATCGCTCGGCCCCCTGCGCGCGCGTCCCCCCCCTCCCCCTGCCCCCGCTCAGCTTTGTCAAGGCTATCAAGGACCTCGGCTTCGAGGCCGGTGAGACGCGGCAGCGGGACGGCACCCGCAAACACTCATTCGAACGCCGCCAGGGGGCTCCGCTTCCGCCTGGCGCGGTCCCCCGCCGTCTGCCTTTGCCGCGCGCCGCCCCTGCGTCCCCGCGCCGAGGCTCCTGACGCGGCGCCCCACGCCCCCCTGCCGCCCCTCCGCGGCCCCCAGAGCCACACATCGAGTACCAAAGCTAGCGCGGAGGGCGCACCCCCTCAGGCGCCACCGCGCCGCGCCGCCCCGCGCTGTTGAGGCAGCCGCGCCGCCATGGCGGCCGCGCGCGGCCGGAGGCGGCCGGCCCGCGCGCTCGGCCCCCGCCGCGGGCCTTGCCGCACGGCGCGGGCGCGGCGCCTCGGCCGCAGCAGGGGCGGGATGCATCAAGGGCACAAAGGGATCTGTAGACAGGGGGCCGCAGGCGGTCCGGGCTGCGGCAGGGGTGGGTGGCGGAGGCGCGGCCCTCCCAGCCTCCCCTCAGCGGCTCCCTTCCCGCGGCCCTCTTGTCTGGCGCCGCGCAGTATGCAGCCATACCGGCGCGGCCACTCATCTGCAGGCGCGGCTCAGCCGCCGCCCGCGCTCGCGAGGAACGAACAAGGGCACATACACACATGCACATGCACGCACACGCACGGGGTACGAGGTGTGCTCGACGACGCCTCAACTGCTTTTGGCATGCACCCCAGAACGACCCCAGCCCCCCCGCCTGGAGCCACGCCACGATCCATCGCCTGCCTTGCGCGTGGCACCCGCTTGGGAGTGACGCCGGCAATGCTTCGGGCGACACCTTCGTGCGGGGCACCGAGCACGGGCCCCATTGGGGACGCACCCGCAAACGCGAGCGCCCCTGCAGCCGCGTGTCCTGCAACCGACCGCGCTCCTTGCTCGTTGTGCCCGCCTCATTTCATCCAACCGACCCCCGAAATTCCGAGCCGGTGGGGTGTCTCGTTGTTACATACCTCAGGCAATTGTAGTACGGCCAAGCAGGTGTACTGTCAGTGCGGGTCCATGGTCCTCAACAGAGCAGCGCGCGACGACCCCAAACGGCGCCACCCGCAGGTCAGCATGCGAAGCCCTTGCAGACCCCACCCCCCCCCCTCCCGACAAAGCGAGGGTCAAACCCGGTGCGTCCGAGCGATTGCAGACGGGATCACGCCAGCCGAACGAATGAAAATACTCCAAGGGAGACCACAGAGCAGAGAATGAGATGCCGCCCAGGCCCCTTATACGGCGAAACAGGCCCCATGCGCGGCCCCCCCTTGCGCCCGCACCAAGCGCCGGCCTGGGCCCGCGCGGCAACTAGGCCGCCGCTGCAGCCCCGTGCACGTGCGCGCGGCGGCCAAGCGTACAGGGCGCGTGGTGAGGGGTTGTGCCGACTAGGGGGAATGCTGACGCGACACGACAGATCCCCCGATCTTCAAGTGGGGTGATAGCCAATCCAACTGGCATGGACGGATCCCAACAAATGGTTGTCAGGGCCAACAGATGATGATCATTGCGCATTGTGCGCGTGCCACCGTTTCTCAAAGCCGATTCAGGATAGTATAATAAGGCAAGCCCCAGCGCCGCACGTCGAGGCGGCCGGGACGCGCCCCGCCGCGCCGCGGCGCGCGGGTTGGGGGGGCCCAGGCCGGGGGTCACAGCCAAAGGTGCTGTGGCGCGCGCCGGCGGCTGTGAGGAAGGGCCTGGGCCGAGCGCGTCGGGCGCCCCGCGCGACGCGCGGCCCCCACACGGTACTGAGGGTGCGGGGCCCAGCGGGGCGCGCCGCATTGCGACACCGCGCGCGTCAACTGAAGCGGCAGGAAGCATTTCCGAGGGCTGGAGACTCCAGGCCCCCTTCTTAGTACACACGCACATCTTTGAAGTACACGCGCGCGCATGCACGATTGCAGGCGAACGCCAGGATCGTGCTGGTGACGGCCCGCTCGATGATGCGTCGGGCCAAGGTTTATGGGTTGTGCGCATGCTCCAGGCTTGCTTGAAGAACACCCAGCGCCGCGGCGGCGGCAAAGCCCCGCCTTGAGACGTGCCCACATAGCAGGGCAGCCGGCCTCCTGCCGCCGAAGGGCGGGGAGTCCGCGCCCGGACGGGACGGCTTGCGACCGCTTCAGGTGTTTCGTTTCACGCGCGCCTGGCAAGAGGCGTCCGACTGGGCCTGGCGGCGCGCCTGGGCCGGGGCTGTCAGTGCCGAGCATGCAGTGCATTCAATGTGTGTAGTATTTGGCGCGCGCCGCGACGCCGCCAAAAAAGTGCAGATAGTACTAGGCACGCACAGCCGATGCCGCCAGGGCGTCGGGGAGTGGTGTGTGATAATTGATCAGCGTGTGTAGGAAGCGCCGCCGCCGCGGTTGTCCGTGCGGGTGAAAGGCGCCCGCCGGAGGGCAGGCCGGCAGTCGGAAGGGGTTTATCGCGTGCGCTCGGGCAAAGGCGGCTTGCTCATGCATGTATGTTTTGGTGAGCAGGACCGCGCATAAGGCTGCCACGACGGGACCAGCCAGTTTCAAAACAGTGTTGACAGCCGACCGGGCAGGCATCCGTCGTCGCGGGCAGGGGACAAGGCGCCGGGGCGCGGCGCGCGCGCGCGCACGCGGTCCCGCGCAGAGCGAGGGCACACGCAGCGGGAAACGACGCTGCTGCGGTCCCGCCGTCTGCCGCGCGGGGCGCGCGCGGCGGCGCCGCGATTGGGCGTGGGTTGGCGCGGTCGACCGGGCCTCCAGAGGTTCACCAGAGTTCAGCCCCAAGGGGTCCCCAAACATCAGCATATGTCGAGGCAGTGCAGTGGGAGAGGAGCGCGCGCCAGAAGGGGCGGCGCATGCGCTCCGCAGAAAAGCATGCATACATGGAAGCAGGAAGCACATGTCTCACGAGCGGGGCGCCGGCGCCGGCGCCAGCGTCGTTTAGTAGTGGCCAGGCGCACCATTGAGCAAAAGGCCGAGGCAGGCATCGCCGCCGCGGCCGGCAGGGCAAGCACAGCACAAGGGGGTGCGGGGCACCCTCAAGCGCGACGCGGCGGCCGATGGGGCGGGCAGCCCAGGGTCGCGATCAATCATGCGGAGGCGCAGCAAGCTGCACGAACAGAGCCGCCTGCAAGAGCGAGCGCTCGCAAGGCGCCGACGACCGGGCGGCGCCGGCACCCCAAATCAGCGCCGCGGCCGCGCCGGCTGCTGCAGCCCGCCGGTCTTGTATGACAGAGCCCCACGGTGGAGTCGACGGCTCGGCGGTGGGGGCGTGGCGTGTGTCGAGCTGACCAGTCCCCCAAGATGTTCGTCGCTGCAGCAAACAGATACCACGAGCGCCGCCGGTAGCGGCCGGGCCGCGCGGCCCCCCACGCGGCGGCTGGCGCCGCCCCCCCGCCGCACTCACGGTCGGTGGCGGCGGGG